GTCCTGTACCCAGAGCCTCCCTCTGAAAGCCACTTTGCCCTCCCCCAGTTCTCTCTGATCAGCCACCACCTGAAGCTCACAGAAGCCCAGGGTTGAGGCAGCACAAGTGCGCAGACATTATCTAGATAAGAAAACCAAGGCCCAGGGTAAGGGAGACCCAAGCCCACACGTTCTGACTCCCAACACCTAGTGCTTCTTCTCTGGCTACTGTCACCCCCATGCCTGCTTGTACAGCCTCAGGATTCAGGGAGAGTTTAACCTGGACATGGTCACAGAGCTTCAGGCTTGGGGGAAGCCAGCCTTTAGTTCTGCGAGGGGTCAGCAGCTGGTGTTCTGATTCCCCCTCAGCCCAGGTCCAGGTGTAGCACCTGCTCATTTGAATGGTTACTTGAGCTCACTGTTTCCTAGCAGGGAAACTGAGGCCCAGAGCGGGAAGGTGACTTGCCAGACCTATGATGCTGCTCGTCCACTGTGTGGCCTCAGGGAGCCTCAGTTTCCACATCTGTAAAGTGGGCCATCGTCACACCTTCTTCGCTGGGCATTGGGGGGATTCAGATGTCTAGACATTTGTAAACTGAGCAGTGTCAGGCACATATGAGCACATTTCTGTCACAAGGGGAGCTTCCCTGCTCCCTTTTTCCCTCCCTCTCTGGTTCTCAAAAGTCAGCAATGACTTGTCTCCCTGGAAAATTTATGGATGCTCTTAGGTACACCTCCTGAAGAAGTTTCTTGGCACAGCCCCAGCCCAGAACCCTGCCTACAGGAGGGTCTCCTGCACGGACTAGTGGGGGACTCGGAGGAAGCTTGTCAGAGCCAGCTGGGAGCCACATGCTGAGGAGAGGGGGCAAGAACTGCAGGCTGGTGTGGGGCAGGGAGCCTCGGTGCCAGTGACCGTGACCCAGGATGGTCCTGGAAAAAAGCTGGGGTGAGCACTGCCCCACTGGCTAGAGTGCAAGGTACTCAAAAGTAACACACTGGCTTTTCTGCCCAATTACGTGGTGTCTGGTCCCCAAGGTGACATTCAGAGAACTCTGAGGAATGGAAGAGGCAGAGGGCTCTAGGAGATGAGTGTAGAGACTGTGGGTAGCCAAGATTCTGATTCAGGGGACACAAAGCCCATCCCTGTGCTTCTAGGCCTAAAGCCACATTAGGATGAACTGGAAAAAGGACAGGGGCCTTGGCTTTGCCTCAAGGGGTTTGCAGATGACTGGCTTTCCTGGCAAGGGGAGAGGCGACAGAGTTTGGCTCCATGTCAGACCTGGGCCGGAATACCAGCTCAGCTACCTATGAGCTGAGTGAGTGACCTTGGGCAAGCCATCTGACCTCCAACTCTCTATTTCTCCATCTGTGAAAGGGGATATTGATAACACTTTTCTCATGAGATTGCTGTTCCAACTTGATGAAGATCAGGAACAGAAAGAACATAAAATACAGAAGCTATTAATGTTGATTATTATTATTATTAATGGGAGGGGGACACCAACTGGTAGAGGGTCACTAAAAGTTGAAACCAGGATTCCAAGCTGGAAAGCCTAGGGAAGTCACATGCCCTGCTCTCTCAGACATCTTGATGGACACCTACATCCGCAGGCATGGCCTGCAAGCTCCCAGGGCTGGAGAGCTCCCCGCAGGCCAGCCGAGCTGACTGGCTCAGCTCACTGCCTGGGGTATAAGAAAGGCTTCCTGATCTTGAGCTGACATCTGGGTCCCTGTATCCGCATCCCAGTGATCCCGGCCACAGAGGGGCCACCAGACTCTCCGCTCAGCTCCTGCAGGTTGATGTGGGTAGTTCTGAAGTCTCCCCTTTCCTGGTTTCCATTTCCCTCCCCAACTCTTCGTGCTGGTCAGGGTGCCTTCCCTGAACCAGTCTTCCAGATGGAGCCAGAGAAGCCAGAGTGAGCAGGCCTGACAACCCTTGCTCCTCATGGTTTATACTTTGCGAAGTGCTGCCACATGAATCATACGATCTGACCTCAGGCCCTTCCTGTAGGTGACATATGACTATTTGCCTTACAGATGAGGAAACTGAGGCTCCAAGACATCAGGGGTCTTGCCCAAGGGCCTGAAGCTTCACCTATCTGCCGAGGGCTAATGGGCAAGAACTTTCTCTCTAGAACCACAACTGGCCCTTCTGTAACCTGGGCGAGAGGTTAATAACATTTGCTCTGTGTGACAGTGACAGAAGTCAATAAGATGATTGTCTTAAAGTACATTATAACCAGAAAGAGCTTTGCAAGACTTATCATTGCTGTGTGGTCTTCAGCAAGTCACTCAACCTCTCTGTGCCTCCATTTTCTCCTCTGTAAAACCAGACTAATAAACCTTACTTGAAAGGGTCCTTGTGAAAAGTAAATAAGTTAATACATGCAAAGCTGTTAGGGCAGTGCCTGGCACATAAAGAGCAAAGTGTTGGCAAGTATATCATATATTATTACCATTAGCATTATGTAGGGCTGGAGGCAGGCTTGGAGCAGGGGAACCAGCTGAGTCCCTGTGGAAATGCTCCTGCAATATCCTCTCCCTCCCCCTCCTTGGCTGTGACCCAATTAGTGCCTCTTTCCCGCAGGGGTCCTGCCTCAACCCTGCCCACCACTGGGTGGAGGAACTGGGGGAAGCTGTCAAGATGACTCCTCTCCACCAAGAGAAAACAAGCAGCAGCTGGGATTGATCACCCCTGGGCCGTCCCCACCCCTGCAGTGAGGCAAAGCCCATTAGTGTTTTCTTCTGTGGGGGGCAGGGCCAGCGGGAAGGTGGGGGGGGGCGCTCAGCTGGTGCCTGACGGGAAACAGATGTGGCCAGGGAGGGAGGAGAGGGGAAGTGGAGGGTTCTCAGGAGATGGCTGCCGCAGAGGTCAGAGCTCTGGGAGAAGAAGAAATAAAGCAGCCTCTCTCCACCTTGGGGGCTGGGGTTAGGGAGGGCTGTGGGGGGACTCCAAGCCCCTCCTCTCAGCTCTTCAATAGCTCCTGACACCACCCCCTCACATCTCTGCCCAGTTTGTAGCCTCTCTGAGGGAGAAGACTCCAGTGGGAGGAGACTGGGGGGCTGGGTGGTAGGAGCCCTGGGTCCTGCGCCCCCTTAACAGTGGCTGGCTGAGCGACCTTGCTCAAGTTCCATATCCCTTCTGGGCCTCAGTCTCCCTGCTGCACACAGTAAGTGCTCAACAAACAAGGGCTGACTGATGGGGTCGGCTGGGGGAAGGAGAGCCACATGCTTTTGGAAGATCCTTCCAGACTGGGCCCAAAAGACTGATTCTAAGTATGGAGATGGGGGAAAGTGGTCAGGGAGGCTGGGCTTGGACTGAGCTCGGCAGGATAGAGACAGGAAGCAGGTGAGGCCCGGTGCTACAAGCCAGGAATGGGCCTGGCGTCGTGGTGTTGGCAAGTGGCAGGGGCCGAGGCAGGGGCCGAGGCAGGGGCCTAGGAGGCTGGGGCCACTGTGGGGAGCTGGGTCTCACCTGCCTCGGGCGCACAGGCAGTGACTCTCTGCTTAGGTCACATAGGGTGTAACAGTCATAAGGGCTGAGCCTCCCAGACTCCCCGCACAGACCCAAGCACCCACTCATCTGAGCCCCCGGAGGAAAGGCCCATTCCAGACTTACCATTGCAGCCACTGCGACCTGCCCTCCCTGCTCCCCTCTTCCCCACTCAGGTCACTCATCTGCCCCCTCAGGCTCCACATTCCCTCCAGCCCCAAACTTGATCCCTATTCATGAGTCCCAGCTTCTCTGCTGACCTTGGGTAAGTCGCTCATGCCCCTTGCCTCAGTTTCTTCCTCTGTAAAATGGGGAAACAATAGAGCTGACCTCACAGTGTGGCTGAGAGGACAAAGGTATAAAGTCCTCAGAGGACTGCCACTGCCTGGCCACTGCCCACTTCCGTCATCATTCTTCCCATTCCTGCCCTCGCCGGTCACTGAGGTCCGTCTACCTGCGGCCCTGCTTCTTCTCTCCTGCGCTGTGTCCAGTACTTTGCACATGCTGCTCCCTCCCCAGCAGTGCCCCACTCTCCCTGCTGCTCCTCCAGCCCTCCCGACCCTCCTCCGCTTCCCCTCAGAGCTCACCCTGACATCAGTGTCTCAGGGGAGCCTTCTCCAAGTGCACCCAAAGCCCACCTCCCCACTCCCCACCTCCCCACCGTTCTGCCTCCCTTTCCCTCAGGTCTCCTATGCCCCCTGCTGCTGCCATTCTTTCTGGTGACTCAGTTTATACAGGGAAGACTCAGTGCCCCAACTACCTCATCAACAGTGACCTTCTCTCCGACCACTCTCTGGTCCATCCCTTGGACCTGGTCCTCTTCAGAAACTTCTCTCAGTCCAGCTACCTGGCTCCCAACTTCCACCCTGTCCTGGTCCCACCTCTTCATTAAGGCCTTTCTGACTTCCCTTCCCGCCGTCTAGGCTGACACCCCAGGATCGTGCATTATCACACTTCCCCAAATGTGTCCAACTCTTTGACCTTCTCTCTGAAACACTCCTTGGGTAAACCTTTGCCCGCCTAGGCCCATTCAGCATCTCCTACCCACACTGCCCAGTGAACCCCACTGGAGTGAGTCACAGAACCTGGCTGATAGCTTTGGTTACAGTTATGATTCAGACCTCCCCTGGGAGGGGGATGCTGTTCGGCAGGCCGGCAGGTTTCTCAGGTAGGCCTGCTTCCTCGCTCCTTGCTCGCTAGTCCTTCCTCAAGCCCGCCACACCCCTCTTCACTCTGGCTCATATCTGAAAACCTCATGTCCCACTTCACTGAGAAAACAGAAGCCTTGGAAGTGAAGTTCCTCTTCTCTGCACCATCTAACCCACCTCCCTCCCTCCTGTGCTGATGATAAGGTATCCCTCTAGCTCCTGTATCATCAGCCTTTTGCTTTCTTCTGGGTCATTCTCATTTGCCTGTAACATGCTCCAGGCTCTCCCATCTCTAACACCCATCCCAATGCCACCCACCCGACTCCAGCTACCATCCCATTTCTCTGCTGCTCTCCACAATCAAACCCCCTCGAGTGAGTGTGGACAAAGAAGGGAGTCCCTCTGCAGGCCGGCCCAAGAAGCCGCCTCCATCATGGCTCCATGCACACCAGCCCTGCCAACGGGTCCGCTGTGAACCGACACCTCCACTCAGCCTCCTCCTGAACTTCAGAGCGCTGGCTTCAGTGGTTCTCAAACCTTGGCCGTAGTTCAAGTTCTCACATAAAAGAGATGGGAAGCCCCACGAAGCTCTACCTCCTCATGGCCAAATCTAAGGGCACTTTTTCATGGTCGTTATACCTGACATCTTAGCACTGACCACTGCCCAGTCCTCGAACAGGGCTCCTCGTGACCGCCAGGACTCCATGCTCCCTGGTTCTCCTCCCTGTTGGATCCTTCTCCTCCATCCGATCCCAAATTCTGGGATCACGACGTGGCCTGGGGAACCCCTTCTCTACTCTGCTCTCATTCTGCAGGAAATCTCACCCAGTTCCTAAATACCTTCAGGTAAGTGATACCCAGTTATGTAGGAGCCACCTTGACTGCTCACCTTGAGCTTTAGAACAACACACCTAACGGCCTTCTTGACATCTTGACTTGGGTTTTCAGAAATACCTCAAATGTGACATGGGTATCAGAGAACTCTTGCTTTTATCTTGGACATCTACGTCCCATCCTACCCTGCCGCCAGCCCAGGCTGCCCACCTCAGTAATGATCACCTCCACCCACTGAGGCGCTCAAGTCTGAAGTGTGATTGTTCTGGATTCCCGCTTCTCCTGCACCTTCCACATCCAATCTGGTGACACCTTGTGTGGAACCCAGGTCCAGAGCAGCCTCCTTAGTTCAGACCCCTTCCAGCTCACCTGGGACCTGGCCACGGCTTTCCCACTTTCAATCTCCCAGCACCACCCCCATCCCTTCCCAGACTAATCTCTATACACAACCAGAGTAATTGTCTCAAAATGAAGAAGAAAGCCGTGTTGCTCAGGGATTTCCTCTCTGGCCCCCAAGGCTCTGAGAGCTCCCGTTCCGCTCTCCGCCCCTTTCCTCTCGCCCTGCTCTCCTCCTCCTTCACTGAGCTTTGGGCCCCAAGCAGCCTAAGTCCTTAAAGCCTCAGGGCATTTGCACCTGCTATACCCTCCCTCTTCCTAGGATGGCTGCCCCCCACTTGTGACAGGCCTAGCTTCCTCCCCTCCTTCAGGAGTATATGTCACCTTCTCCTCGCAGCCTGCAGTGAGCAGGTCCTCCCTGAGATAAGGGGCCTCAATCCCTGCCTACTAGGGCAGGCCCATGGGTGCCTTGGCCACCAGCCCCATGCACAGTGCTTGGCACACAGCAGCTGCCCTGTTTATATAGGAGTCAGTGGATGAATAAATAAATGAAACACATTTTCCACAGCATCTTACTGCCCTCACATCCCTGTTTGTCTCACAACAACACCCAAGTTCATTAGTTTCAAAATTCGGCTGAGGTCTGCAGTCTCAGGTCTAGGTACAGTTGCCCCTTTATCTTCCTTCCCTTCCTGGTGCACTGGGCACTCTCTCACCCCCATTTCAGATGAGGCAAGGAAAGGGCGGGCCAATTTAGAGGGATCTTGTCTCACTCTCGTCCTAGAAAGGAGTAAACTGAAGCCTAATAAGGGACAAAGTCAGTCTCCCACAGCCCTTCAGAGGACACCCACCCCCGCACTGCTCCCCTGCCCAGCCTGCCCAGCCCCGCCAGCTCACCTGCTTGTGTGGGTACACGTTGATGTGGCACTTGATGCACTCCTGCCCCATGTTGGCCCAGGAGTTCCCGCTCATCCATTTTCTCTTGCACTTGGGACACTTGTACTCACCGAAGCAGCGCTTTTTGCCCTGGTATGGGGTCAGACCCTCTCCTTTGGGGCGTGCCTAGAGGACAGGACGCAAACAGAGGGAATTGCATTCTACGAGGCCAAAATGCTACCCCCAGAGAGTCCCCACAATTTCCCCCTTCAGACTTCATCACCTGTGACCCTGTGTGCAGGCGCCTTCTGTCCCCAATCCAGGGTCACCCCAGAGCACACATAGGAATCCAAAGCTGGAAGACCCATCCAGGGGACAGAGAACAGAGGAGGTGGTAGGGGTGCACATGTCTGTTTCAGATTTAAGGGAGTAAAGTACTTGATAGTGGCTAGGAATGACTTCTTTAACTCAGAGGTCATAAAGAGGTGGCTTGTGGTAGCATGGACCCGCACACAGGTGTTCTTTGGCCCACACAATGGTGTGGATTAAATGGTTATTGAAGAGGCAACACAGGCACTGTAAACCTGCTATGTATTCAGTGAAAGTGAGTCTCCCCTCACCCTTGCTCCCAGCCGCCCACTCCCCTACTGGAGGCAATCTTAATTTCCTTTATGTACATTCTCCCGAAGACGGGTTCTGCGTTGACACACATATGCAATGTAGACATATGTACTCATATTCTTTCTTTTCCCTCACTCATATGGCAACAGATTATGCATTTGGTTCTGTATCTTTTTTTTGTTTTACCTAATAATGTATCTTGGACATATTATTATTATAAAATATATATAATAAAATATCCTTTCCCACATCAGGACAAACTGAGCTATTGTATTCTGTTTAACAGTGGCACAACATTCACATCTATGCAAGTTCCAGAGTTTGCCAGTCATGGTTACAAAACATCTGGTGGTTTCCACTCTGCCACTGTTACAAGCAATGCCCTGATTAATAACTGTGTGTATGTGTGTGCTTGTATACATGAGAGTACATTTGTGGGACAAATTCCTGGAAATAAAATTGGCATGTGCACTTTCAATTTTGAAAGGTAATGACAAATTGTTACTGCCCCACCCCACTTCCCACTGCAGGTGTACCAACTTAATAGCCCACATCATCACCAACAGAGTTTTCATCATTGCCAATATAAGAGGTAGAAAATCTCCTCAGAGTAGCTTTGACTTGTATATCTTCTATTATGAGTGAGAAAGAAGTTTCCCATGCATTTAAGAATTATTTTTGTTTCCTTTATGAACTGTCAGTTCAAATCCTTTGTGGTTTTTTTTTCCTGCTGGGGTTTGGTATTTTTCTTGTTGATTTGTAAATGTACTTTATATATTACAGAAACTAGCTTTCTCCTACATGGTGTTTTTTTTTAAACAGCTTTTAGAGAGATGACTGTACATTTCACCCATTTAAGGTGTACAATTCAATGGTTTTTAATATATTCACAGTTACGCAACCATCACTACAATATAATTTTAGAACACTGTGTCACACTCCCCCCCTGCCCCGCCCAAAGGAAACCTTGTACCTATTAATGGTCATTCCCCATTCTACCCCCACCTCCTCACCCACTCAGGCTAGCCAACCACTAATCTATTCCCTGTCTCTACACATTTCCCTATTCTAGGCATTTTATATAAGTGGAGTCATGCAATATTGTCCTCTTGTGTCTGACTTCTTTCACTTAGGGTAACATTTTAAGGGTCATCCATGTCGTAAGCATGTATCAGTACTTCATTTTTGTTGCTGAAAAACATTCCAGTCCAGTTTGTATGGACATGCCATGTTTTATGTAAATTCATTCATCAGATGATAGACATTTGAGTTGTTTCTAATTTTCGGCTGTTAGTAATGTTGCTATGAACATTCATATACAAGCTGCATAGTGTTTTATAAAGTTGAATTAGTTGCCCCAACATTTAAATATGGAAGATTTCACATAAAAATATGACCACACTGGTCCAGAATTCTTATGGTGTCAATCAGCTGAGGTTGCGAAGTAGCCGCCCCAACAGACTGACCATACATGCATCCTGCATGTCACCTCTGTTCCGATCAGTCGCTCCCTGCATTTGTGTCACCTACATGGCACGAGCAGGCTTTGACTTTGAGACAGGCTTAAACATAGGTTCTACACTATGATTATTCATTCAACTGTAGTTCCTAGACTGGCCTCAGCAACTTTCCCTAGGAGCTTGTTAGAAATGCAGAATTGCAGGCCCTCTCCCCTTAGACTTACTAACTCAGAATCGGCATTTTAACAAGAGGCCCAGGGGATTCATATGCCGTTAAGTTTAAGAAGCACTGGGTTATGATATGATCTGGTTCCATAGTACTGTTTTCCAGGGTAATTGCCTATTTATGAAGTAGAACATAAAGGTTAAGAGCACAGACTATGGATCCAAATCCTAGCTCTGTGATCCTGAGCAATTACTTCACAAGGATAATGACAGGAACTCCCATTTAAGACTGTTCTGAGGATTATATGAGATAATACATGTAAAACACTTAGAACAGTGCCTGGCACATAAAAGTAAAACAGGAATATTTGTTATTATTTACTAATATCGAACAATAGTGGTATATCAACAATGTCTTTTTTCCCAGGAACTATGATCATCTCTTGGTGACAGCTTACGAGAATTTCAGGCAAAACACTAAAAAGGGACATAGATGCTGAGTTTGTAAATCTAAACTTAGAAAGTGACAATAACACTGCCCTGATCTTTTGGGCCTGCTGCCTAATGTCTTTCGGATACTATTGGCCTTCCTGGCAGCTGTGATGTCCCGGGAAGGCTCAGTCTGAGTTCCAGGGCAGGGCTGCCTCTTAGCACGAGTCAGGTCTGTGAGAGAGGCTACTTATGCCAAGGGGAGCACTCAGGGTGCAGTCAGAGCCCAAAGTCCAGTCGATTTGCAGTAGAGGGGTCAACTTATGCCTCTGAAGGCACTTTGAGCTCAGTTGCTGTCAAGTTAGTGGGTGTGCAGTCAGTAACCCCTTCAGGTGCCACCTCTTCTAGCTGGTGCCTGGTATCCACAGTTTCTAAGCAACCCTAGCTTCCATGGCCTTCCTTCTCTAGTAATCCTGAAATTACTAGATGAATTCATTCCCATGCCTTCCCATTCTTAAAGGCATCTACCTTTTAAAGGAGGATGAGGAACAGGTGGGGTGCCTCACCAATGGTAGAACTTGAGACTCTTTGATTGCAGGGAGAAGTTGAGGGCTACCACCAGCCAGGTCCACTCTGGGACCTGGCTCTGCAGCCTTCTTGTTTCAGAGACTGACAGGACCTGGCACCTGGCTGCAGACAGCTGGGGCAAAGGGCAGGGGTCAAGGCATTCCAGGGGCACTCAGCAGAGTGAAGACTCGCAATTCAGTTCCCAAAGTATCTCTGCTTCAGAAGTGAGCAGGAATGAAACCTCCACAAATACAGAAGATTCAAAGTATGCAGCACAGGGAGAAGCAGGAAGATGAGAGGGGAAGAAGGGTATGAGGCGGGAGGCATCGCCACATCATGTAATTAGAAAACCAGCTTTTTTGAAGCCATCCGTCAGGGACTGTGAGCTGCTGGGCAGGGCACAGGGTCAGGGGTTCTGGCCTCCTGCAGGACCGAAGCTCTTAGTGTACCGTTCCCACACTGCTGTCACGCCAGGACTGGGAGGCCTCAGCTTTCTGACACCCACTGCTCAGGATGTGGCTCAGATTGTGGACGCAGGGCCAGATGCCTGCGGTCGCATTCTGCCTCTGCCTGTGACTATGTGGGAGAAACTCAGCAAGTCACTCAACCTCTCTGCCTCGGTTTCCTCTTTATGAACCAGGATGATGATGAAGGGCCTGCCTCCCAGGGCTATTGGAAAGATGTGATGCATCCACGCACTGAAGGTCTCAGCTCAGTGGCTGAACATTGCAAGTGCTCAGTCACCATTAGCGATGTCAGTGACTCTCTCTTGGGCCTTTACAGGGAGAGGGAGCAGGTGTGTTCTACGTGACACGGAGGCTGGGGCTGAGACCAGTGGGTGTAACTGGTAAGAGCAAAGTTCCAAAGATAGGAGGGAGTCCTGGAAGAGGTGGGATTGCTATCTCTAGGCTGTGGGGGAGGTGACAAGCGACAAAGGAACAGCATTTGGTGTCTTCACCTTCTGGAATTCTGAGGGAGGGACCAAGATAGAGGGAGGCCGTGGAAGCTCTGCAGATGCTGCTGGCAGAGGACAATGGGAAGAGCGAAGAGAACAGACACTTAGGAAGCACTGTTTCTGTGCTGGCTTTGTGCTCAGACTGCCACATACTGTTAGGCCCCCATTCACCTCTTTTTATAATCAATCCTTCATGGCAGGGAACATCATCAACCCATTTACCAGATGGTGAAACTGAGGCACAGGGAAAGGGCAGGACTTGCCAAAGAATTTCCAGTGTGTGAGGAACAGGAGGCTAGGCCCAGTGGGCTTTTCCACAAGGTGACACTTGGCTCACCATTTCTATCACCCCCCAAGTATGTCTCCATCATGAGGCTGAGGCCTGTGCTCAAGAACAAAAATCCCCCAGACCCCAGGGCCTCCAGCTCAGCCTAGCCTAGTGGCTTTGCTCTCCTGCAGGTCAAAAGGGAGACATGGCCTGAAGTGCAGGGAAAAGAGGCAGTGGATGAAGGCAAGGAGCCGCTTCTTCGAAGGGTTCAGTCCCAACATTGTTTATGCTTACAGATGAGGGCAGAGCCAAAGGGAGCAGGAATTTTTTGACGGAACAAAGGCTTCTCTACCCCCCACACTTTCCCCCTGCCTCCTCCTGAAAAGGCACAGCCTCTTCTCATAAACTTTAGCATGAAACAGACAGTGACTGCCGAAGGCTCTGCAGGGGCCTCCACCCATCCCAGCTGGGAAGGGTGCCAGGCCTGACCAGGCTCTCCTGACCCAGGCCCCTGCCACGTACCCCTCTGGGGAATCACGTCTGCCAGGAGTCCAGGGAAAGCTCACTGGGGCTCAGAAACCACTTCTGGTAGCACAGACAGGCCCTCTGGGGACCAGAGAAGCAAGGGGCTTGCTCAGGGACACATAGCAAATCGGAGACTGAGCTGGAAGAGGGGTTGAGTCCTCTGCTTGACCTTCAGAAGAGGGCTAGAATTGCCATG